TGCCAGCTCTGAGAAGCAGGGTCCTGGTTCGGATCCCACATGAGGGCCGTGGAGCTGTGCCATCTACAGCTAAGATGGTGAACAACAGCTCGACCTGGAGCTGGGCTGCCGTGAGTCACTGGCCATGCCATAGGCTGCAGTGGGGCTGCAGTGGGCTGCCATTAGCCACCGTGAGCGGCCATCCAGAGGCTAGTGAGCGACTGCCCCACCAGGGAAGAATGCAATGATAATACCAACATGGGTCAGTGAAGTGACGTCCTACACAACTAGACTGAAGAACCAAAGGACAGCAACTTGTCTGTTCCCCTTACCTGATTCCCCAACGCTGTTCCCCTCCCCCAATTCTCCAATGAAAAATCTTTAAAAAAAAAAAGAAAGCAATTACTCAAGAGGGACAAAGGATTTAGAAATCCTCAAACAATGAAAAGAAAAGTTTAACAATAGAGTAAAATAAAAATGAGAGAAAAATTTTGCATAAATAATTATGTTCTTTTTACTTGTAGCCCTAAAGGTCATATTTCTGTATCTACATAGCTGCCTTTTTAGGGGGGTGGGGGTAAAGTCTAACTATGCATGCTGTATACTATTACATGGTAGTCAAATTTCAAGTGTGTATGTTGGGTGTTGACGTAAGTAGAGATTATGTTAGTGCACAAGTGAGACACTCAGATTTTAAATATGTATCAAAATTTAAACTACTCTTGACTGAGAAATTTTACTTTTTAAGAACTTATTTTAAAAAAATAAAATAATAGGAGAGGTGGTAAAAGGGGTTCAAATATATTGGGCCATCGGGAAAGTCATGACGCATTTTTGCATTGAAAAACATAGAAAAATACGTCATGACTTTCCCTATGACCCAATTTATGGTGATGGAAGGAGAACTGACTCTTGGTGGTGATCACAAAATGTACTACATAGATAATGTCTTATAGAATCGTGCACTTGAAACCTATATTTTAGTAATCAATGTCACCACAATAAACTTTATGAAAAATATAGTATGCAAAGTTATTTTTTGTAACGATAATAAGGGATAGTTTTATCACTCTGCTCTAAGATTAGTAATTTATTCTTTACAGAATAGTTATGCTAGTGATAGGGATAATTTTTTTTTAATTGTGGTAAAACATAACAAAATTTATCATCTTAACCATTTTTAAGTATATAGTTAACTAGTGTTAAGGGTATTCACGCTGTTGTGCAACCGATTTCCACAACCTTTTCATCTTGCAAAACTGAAACTATAGCTGAGACAACTCCCCGGTGTCTCCCCATCCCCAGCCCCTTGAAACCACCCCTCCACTTTCTGTCTCATGAATTTGACTACTCTAGGGACTCCATATTAGTGGAATCATACAACATTTGTCTTTTTGTGTCTGGCTTATTTCACTTAGCAGAATGTCCTCAAGGTTCATTCATGTTGTAGCATGTGTCAGAATTTCTGGGGTTTTTTTTACTCCTCCTCCNCCCCCCCCACACCTTTACTGAGGTATAATTGACAAATAAAATTGAGGAGAAGGGATGGTTTTCCCATGTACCCTACCCCCACCCTGGCACAACATTCCCCATCAGAGTGGTTCATTTGTTACAGTGGGTGAACCTACATCAACCTATCATTATCACCCCAAGTCCATAATTTACATTATGGTCCACTTTTGTGTATTTTATGGGTTTGGGCAAATGTATAATGAATGACATGTATCCACCATAACAGTATCATAGGGCGTAGTTGCGCTGCCCTAAAAATCCTCTGTGCTCCACCCATTGGTTCCTCCCTCCCCCTCCCCACCGGCAACCATTGATTCTTTTACTATCTCCCTAGTTTTGCCTTTTCCAGAGCTTCATATTGAAGTTGAAATCATAAAATATGTAATCTTTTCAGGTTGGCTTCTTTTACTTAGCAGTATGTATTTAAGCTCCTCCATGTCTTCTTAGGACTTGGTAACGCATTTTTTTGTAGTTCTGAATAATAGCCATTGTCCAGATGTACCACAGTTTGTTTATTCATTCATCTATTGAAGGACATCTTGGTTGCTTCTGTGATTTATAGCAATCATGACAAAAGCTGCTGTAAATATCTGAGTGCAGGTTTTTATGTGGACATTTTTCAACTCCTTTGGGTAAATAAGATGGAGCACAATAGCTGGATTGTGTGGTGTATTTGGTTTTGTAATACACTTCGAAACTGTCTTCCAAAGTGTCTGTACCATTTTGCATCCCCACCAACAATAAATGCCTGTTGTTCCACATCCTCGCCAGCATTTAGTGGCGTTGGTGTTTGGATTTTAGCCATTCTGGTAAGTGCGTAGTGTTATCTCGTGGTAATTTGCAGTTCCTTAATGGCATCTTTTCGCATGTTTACTTAACATCTGTATATCTTTTTTGGTGAGGTGTCTCTTCAGGCCTTTTGCCACTTTTTATTTGGGTGGTTTATTTTCTTATTGTTCAGTTTAAGGCTTTTTGTATATTTTGAAAAACAGTTCTTTTATCAGATATTTCTTTCGCAAATATTTTCTCCCAGGATGTGGCTTGTCTTCTCATTCTCTTTCACAGAGAATGTCTTTCGTAGAGCAGAAGTTTCTAATTTTAATGACATCTAGCTTACCAATTATTTCTTTTATGGATTGTGTCTTTGGTGTTGTATCTATAACATCATTACCATACCCAAGGTCATCTGGACTGTCTCCTAAGAGTCTTGTGTTTTACACATAGGTCAATAAATTTTACAATCAGTTTATCAATATCCATGAAATAACTTCCTGGGATTTTGACTGGGATTGCATTGAATCTACAGATCAAGTTAGGATATCTTGATATTATTGAGCCTTCCTAACCATGAACATGGACTATATCTCTCTTTATTTACTTATTTAGTTTCTTTCATCAGATTTTTGTAGTTTTCTTCATATAGATGTTGTCTATATTTTGTTAGATTTATAGCTAAGTATTTAGTATTTTCTTGCTAATGTAAAGGATATTGTGTTTTTAATTTCAAATTCCATTTGTTCATTGCTGGTATATAGGAAAGTAATTGATTTATGTATATGAACTTTGCACCCTGCAACATTACCATAATCATTAATTAATTTCAGGAGTTTTTAAAATTGATTCTGTTGGATTTTCTGCATAAGACAATCATGTCATCTTGAACAATGACAGTTTTTTTCCCTTCCCAGTCAGTATACCTACTATTTCTTTTTCTTGTCTTACTGCATTAGCTAGGACTTCCAGTATAGTGTTGTAAAGGAGTGATGAGAGGGAACATCCTTGCCTTATCCCTGATCTTAGCAGGAAAGCTTCTATAGTAGCCCCCCTTATCCATGGTTTTGCTTTCCGCAGTTTCATTAACCATGGGCAATCGTTATGTCTCAGTGATCTAGGATCATCTGAAGCATGATATCCTTCTGATGAATTATCAGAAGGTCAATAGTAGTCTCATGCTAGTGTCACAATGCCTTCATCATTCACTTCATCTGATCACATAGGCCTTGTATCATCTGACATCATCACAAGAAGGATGAGTAGAGTACAATAAGATATTTTGCAGGAGAGAGACTACATTCACATAATTTTTATTACAGTGTATTGTTATAATTTTCCTCTTTTCTTATTAGTTATTAATCTCTTACTGTGCCAAATTTATAAATTAAATTTTATCATAGGTATGTATGTATAGGAAAAAAACATAGTAAATATAGGATTTGGTATTATCTGTGGTTTTAGGCATCCACTGGGGGTCTTGGGATGTATCCCCTGTGAATAAGGGGGGAATACTTTAGTTTCTCACCATTAAATATGATGTTAGCTGTAAATTTGTTGTAGTTTTTTTTTATCAAGTTGAAGAAGTTGCTCTCTATGCCTAGTTTGCATTTTTTCCTTTTAATAATATTCCACTGTATACGTATGTACAATTTGTATACCCATTCATCCATCAGTAGATAGTTGAGAACTTGTACCTTTTGGCTATTGTGAATAATGCTGTTATGAACATGGGTATGTATAAATAGCCCACTGAGACCGTGTTTCCAATTCTTCTGGGTGTAGACCGAGAAATGGAACTGCTGGGTCGTATGATAGTTTCTTCTAGAGTTTTTTGAGGCGCCAATATGGAAAGTTTTATATACAGGGATGTTTACTGCGCTGATGTTTATAATAGCAAAAATTTGGAAGCAGCCTTGCTATGTATGTATCAGTAGGTGATCAGTTGTATAATTATGGCACATCCATACAGTGAAGTATTCTGCAACTATTTAGAAAGGTCTGGTAAATCTGTATGTTTTGACATGTCAAATGTTACATATATTGTAATATGGGAAAAGCAAACTAGAGACTAATATGTGTAATGTGAATCTGTTTTTATTTTAAATCATTTGTGTGTATATATGCTTCAAAACATTTTTTTAATGATAATGCACTTTTCTGTAGGTTGGTGGGGGGAAGAGGGTGCAGATTGTAAGTGCAATAGAAGAGCAAACCTCTTTATCTTACTACTTTATGAATTACTGCATCATTTCAGTGTTTACAAGAAGCACAGTTTTATAAGCAGAAAAACAGATTTGAATAATTGCATTTTTGGAAAAAAGTTTAACTCCCATTTGTCTATGAAATACAAAGAAAATGTTAAGTATTTCATTTACTTACTAAGTGTTTTTATGTCTACAATGTCAAATGCCAAGTCACTAGGAACTTTTAAATACCTTTTTATTTTTATATTTAAATGTCTTTTATTGTTATATGTAATATCAAGGGTATTTATTCTTTTGTGACCTGAGGCATAAAATTAGCACAGTGAATTTCCATCACAAGGTTTTATACAAGTAATATATTCTACCATTTTTAGGTTATATTTGAATGGTGCTTCCCATTTCTTGTAACTTGGTGGGGTGAGGTATAGAGTGAAACCAAAGGTGTCCTCTGCTGGTGAGGGAACTGTCTCTGAGTTTACGCGCTGAGTTACGTTACACACTGAGTCTTGTTCTTTGCTTTTTTCCTAACAGTAGCTCTTCATGGAGGAACACGGAGTGACCCAAACTGAACACATGGCTACCATAGAAGCCCATGCAGTGGCCCAACAAGTACAGCAGGTCCACGTGGCCACCTACACTGAGCACAGTATGCTGAGTGCTGACGAAGACTCCCCTTCTTCCCCAGAAGACACCTCTTACGATGACTCCGACATACTCAACTCCACAGCAGCTGATGAGGTAACAGCCCACCTGGCTGCTGCAGGTAATGTGGTTTGGCTTGGAAGCTCTTCGTAGCATGCATCTCTGAAAGAACCAAGCATGCAGGCACTCTCGCATCTGTTTTCATAATTTTGTTTTAATCCTTGACTTTGTTTTAATCCTTGCATTTACAGCTTGTGCCTGCATCTTACTAAGACTTAAATTCTAGAATCATATACTGTTAGTGATATGACTTTGGTTTTTGTGTTTTTCATTCATTCTAACAGTCTTTTGACTTTTAACTGAAGAAGCATTTAGTCCATTTACAGTAAATGTAATCACTGATATATTTAGGTTTGAACTTACCATGTTTACTATATGCTTTCTCTTTATCCATTTGTTCTGTGTTTACTTTTCCTTCATATATCCTTTTGGAGTGATTGAAAGTTTTTATTTTTCAGTTTTTTCTTGTCAGTTTGGAAGTTAATATACTTTTACTTATAGTGGTACCGCTAGAAATTATAACATACACCCTTTACTTATTTCAAAGTATTATGTAATTAGTACGTTTGTCCTCTTTCTTAAAATAATTTTTTATTTTTCAATTAGTTGACATTCATTATTATATTAGTTTCAGGTGTACAACCTAGTGATTAGACATTTATATAACTTATTGAGTGATCACCCAATAAACCTAGTACTCATCCCACACCATACAGTTATTACAGTATTATTGACTATATTCCCTATGCTGTACTTTACATCTCCGTGACTGTTTTGTAACCACCAATTTGCACCTCTTAATCTCTTCCTCGTTTCACCTGTCACCCCAAACCCCACTCATCTGGCAGCCATCAAAATGTTCTGTGTATCTTTGAGCTTGTTTCTGTTTTGTTTGTTCGTTTGTTTTGTTTTTTTAGGTTCCACACATAAGTGAAATCATATGGTATTTGTCTTTTTTGTTGACTGACTTCAGTCAGCATAATATCCTTTAGGCCCATTCATATTGTTTCAGCTGGCAAGATTTCATTCTTTTTTATGGCTGAGTAATGTACTGTTGTATGTATATACCATCTCTTCTTTATTCCTTCACCTATTGATGGACACTTAGGTTGCTTTCGTATCTTGGCTATTGTAAACAATGCTGCCATGAACATAATAGATGCATATGTCTTTTCAAATTCGTGTTTTGAGTTTCTTTGGATAACTACCCAGCAGTGGAATCACTGGGGCCTTCTTTGTGTATTGTTTATTGCCTTTGTTTTAAAGTCTGTTTTATCTGGTATAAGTATTGCTACTCAAGCTTTTTTTCCCCCCATTTTCATGAAATATCTTTTCCATCCCTTACTTTCAGTCTCTGTGTATCTTTCTATCTGAATGAAGTGAGTCTCCTGTAAGCAGCATATGCAAGGGTCTTGTTTTATTATCCATTGAGCCCCCCTATGTCTTTTGATTGGAGCATATAATCCATTTCCATTTAAAGCAGTTGTTGAAAATATATAGTTATTGCCATTTTATTATTCATATTTTTTATCTTTTTTTTCCCCCTTTTTCTTAAAGAATCCCCTTTAACATTTCTTGTAGTACTGGTTTGGTGGTGATGAACTCCTTTTAACTTTTTCTTGTCTGGAAAGCTCTTTATCTATCCTTCTATTCTAAATGACAGGTTTGCTGCAGAGTCATCTTAGTTGTGGGCCCTTGCTTTTCAACACGTTGAGTATTTCATACCAATCCCTTCTGGCCTGCAAAGTTTCTGTTGAGAAATCAGCTGACAATCTTATGGTAGCTCCCTTACAGGTATCTAACTCTTTTTCTCTTGCTGCTTTTAAAACTCTCTTTATGGGACCGGCGGAGTGGCTCAGTTGGTTAAGAGCTCATTCAAGAGTTTGAGCTCTGAGCAACAGCGGTTCGATTCCTGGCCCGAGCTGAGCTGCCGCTGAGCTGCCACCAGGTGGCGGGATGGTTCAGCCAAAAACAAAAAAAACCAACTCTCTCTTTGTCTTTAGACTTTGGCATTTTAATTATGATGTGTCTTTGTGTAGGCCTCTTTGGGCTCATCTTTTTGGGACTCTGCACTTCTTAGTTGTATGCCTATTTCCTTTGCCAGGTTAGGGAAGTTTTCCATCATTATTTCTTCAAATAGGTTTTCAATTCCTTGCTGTCTTTCTTCTGGTATCCCTATGATGCAAATGTTGTTACACTTGATGTTGTCCCAGAGGTCTCAAACTATCCCCATTTTTTTGGATTCTTTTTCTTTTTTTTCCCCTGTTCTGATTGGGTGTTTTCTGCTACCTTATTTATTAAATTGCTGATTCGATCTTCTGCTTCATCTACTCTACTGCTGATTCCCTCTAATGTATTCTTCATTTCAATTATTGTATTCTGTATTTCTGACTGCTTTTTTATGTTTTCTGTCTCCATTTTTATGTTTCTTATATCTTTGTAGAAGTTCTCACTGAGATCATTGAGTATCCTTCTAACCAGTGTTTGAATTCTACATCTGGTAGATTGTTTGTCTCCATTTTATTTAGGTCTTTTTCTGGAACTTTGTTCTGACCTTTCATTAGGAACATGTTTCTCTGTCTCTTTATTATCGCTGCTTCCCTGTGTTTGTACATATTAGGTAGAGCTGCTATGTCTCAAGGTCTTGGTAGGATGGCCTTATGTAATAGGTACCTTGTGGGGCCCAGTGGCACAGTGTCCCTGGCCACCTGAGCCGGGTGCTCCAGGTGTGTCCCTTATGTGAGTTGTGTGTGCCCTCCTATGTAGTTGAGCCTTGATTACTATTGGCACATCAGTGGGAGGATTGACCCTCAGGCTTATTGGTTGTGAGGACTGGTATGACTACAGCGGAGGAGCTGTTATGCAGGGGCTGACCCTACGGAACAGGATTCCCTTTAGCAGAGCTGTGGTCCCTGCTGAGTCTGCTGTTTGGGTGTGTCATTTGTGGAGGTGGTTGGGTGGTACTCTGGTGTGGTTTGAAACTGGTCACCAGGTATGTTGGTTCTGGGGCCTCTTGGGAGGGGCTCTGATGCAGGCCAACATCAGCCACTGCCTCTGCCACTTTGTATGCGCTACAAAGTGATCTGCAGATAAGGTTGCCATTTGTGCTGGGCTTGGAGGTGCCTGGGAGAGGCTAAGCTGCGAACTGAGGCCAATTGCTGACAGTGCTAGGCTAGGAGCTGCTTAGCAAGAAGAACAGGACATGCCAATATTGCGTGTTTGGGGTTTGTGAACCTTTGAGAGAGTTTGAGAAAGTCCCCAATGTGAGCCAAGACAGGCCATTAGGATGGAAAAGCCACTGGAAGCAGCTTGGGTGGGCCTGAAAATTGGGTGGGGCCGGTCTCAGCGAATCACCAGGGTGGGGTGAACAGTGTTAGCCAGCTTGATGGAGATTCAGATATGGTGCCCGCCTGCATCTGCACGCTGGATTCGGGGAGGGCTCAACAAAAGAACTATGGCTTCTGCCCGCACTTCCACTTGGAAGAATGCTGCCCCTCCAGCCCTCATCGTGAAACCTTCCATCTCATTCAGCCACAATCTGCTGGTTTTCACAGCCAGAAGTTATGGGGACTTTCCCCCTTAGCACTGGAACCCTGAGCTGGTGAGCCCAGTGTATGGGTGGGACCCCTCACTCCTCAGGGGGGACCTGCAGTTGAGATATCCCTCCTGATTTTTAACGGCCACATGTGGGTGTGGGACCAGTGCATTCAACATCTTTGCCCCTCCTGTGAGACTGGAGGTGGCTTCTTCTGTATGTCCCTAGTTATAGTACTTCTGTTCAGCCAGACACAGGTGATTCTCAGTGATAGTTGTTCTGTAGTTTAGTTATAATTTTGAGGTGGTCGTGAGAGAAGGCCAGCACAGCATTTATGTACTCTGCCATCTTGACCAGATGCTACTTTTGTCTTCTTTAGGGATAATGCAAGTTTTTAGAACACTTAAATTTCATTCCCCTGCTCCTGAAATATATATGCTTTTGTTGTCCTGTGTATTTTTTGTATATTTTAATCCCTATAAGACATTGTTTTTGTTCTATACAACTTGTCTCTGAGAATTTTTCTTCTGCCTAAAGATACCATTTAGTATTTCCTTCAGCATGGATCTGCTAGTAGCAGTCTCTTGACTTTTACTTATCTGTGAATGTTGTTATTTAGCCTTCAATCTTGAAGGATGTTCTCACTGGATATAGAATTCTAAGCTGCCAGTTACTTTTGTTCCTCATATTGAAGATCCTGTTCCACTGTCTGCTGGTTTCCATCCTAGCTTTAGAGAATTCAGCTGTTTCATTCGTACAGCTATTCCATTGAAGTTTATCTCCTACACAAGCCCCTCCTCCAACTGCTTTTAAGATTTTCTCTTAAAGTTTTTGTGATATATCTAGCTCTGGAGTTCTCATTTATTTTGTTTAGGATTCTTTGAACATCTTGAGTCTGGATTGATGCCTTTGATCAGTTCTGAAAAATCTTAGCCACTAGATTTTGTTTCAGTTTTGCTTTTGCTCTGTTTCACCTCTTTTCCTTGTATGGCTGCAGTTAAATATGTTGTCTTCCTGAGTGAGTCCTTCATGTCTCTTACCCTCTACTCTATATTACCATCCTTTTGTCTCTTAAGCTTCATTCTAAGTAGCTTCTTCTAATTGATTAATTTTTCTTTTCAGCTGAGTCTGAGGTGCTCTTAAATCTTTGCATAGAATTATTAATTTTAGTAATAGTTAATTGTTTTGTTTTGTTTGCTGGTTTTGAATTTCTAGTGTGTTTTTTTTCCTCCCAACTTTGCACTATTACAGTTCTTAGTTGAAATTTTTAAAAAGTCTCCCTGAGTAAAGTAAACATGACTTTACAATCCATTTGGTACTTTTACTCTCTGAAGTACTTGGGGGTCTTTTTCTGTTACATGTTGTTAGTGCTGTTTCTTGTTCATGTTGTTTGTTTCTCTTCATGTATTGGTTATATTTGAATGAATGCTGTGTTTGGAAGATTATTTTTAGAAGTAAGGTGGGTCTAGAAGAATGTTATCATTCTCTATAGAGGATTTTTGTTTCCTTCTGCCAGATGCCTGAGG